ACACACACACAAAACATAGAACACCTAGACTAGAACATACCGTAATGGTGGCAAGTTCGGCTTTAATTACAGGAAGCATGAACCACAGACATGGGGGATTCTCTGCTACAACTTCCATCAAGCCTTGACTGATCCAGCTTGAATCTAAGCGCTTAGATATTTCTAGATACCTGAAAAATCACGATGAATTACCGAATGTTTCAACAACTGCTTACATCGCTCTGCATCAAGGAGTTCCGTAAGAAGCAGGAGAGGGCGAAACAACGAGCTGACTAAGCTAAAAGCAACGTACTTGGAAACAAAATCCTTCTCGATATCCCAATCTTGGAAAAGAAAATCGCTTCCAAGAGCATCGTGGCAAAGGGCTTCAGTCATAATATCTGCCTAAAACTCATAAAGAAATATTACAGATCTAGTCAATATAACTTGATGAAAAAGCTTTACTGCCCTCTAACACTCAGAGAAATTCAATGACAATTGACGGTGACTAACCACTAGCTTACAAGCTTCTAAATTAGACTCTCTCGAGTTCGCAAGACATGTAGTTCGCATCGCATCCAAGAAAACGTGAGCACGATGAAGAGCATCCTCCTGAAGAGTAAAAAAGATAGCAGATGGCTTGGACTCCATTGGACCGTGGGAAAAACTGAAGCGCTTGAAAAACAAAACATACACTTGGAAGAGGAACTTTTTGTAAATGGCGAGCCCCTTTGCCTATCCTTCCTGAATGGGCCAGCTGATTTGGGCGTTTTTCAAGAGACATACATTGAATAGCATCGAGGAAAGATTCCTTCTGAAGACTTGAAAATGAGATTTCTTCAGATACTCAAGTTAAAAAGACAAGTAATTCACAGTGCTTGCTCCTCAACAAACCTGGGCTTCTTCAACACCCAAGAGCATAGTAGCTCGCTCCGATGATTCGTACTTCCACGCAACAAGGTCATCAGAATCACCGAATAAATCCCTGGCATCCTAAGAATGAAAGATTAATCCATCAAACTTAAGACTGTAGAAGAAAGGGAACCTGAATGCAGCATGTAAGAAACGACACGAGGAAGAGTTTTTCATAACCCCTCAGGAGAGGACTGAATTGCTGGCAGATGAAACTGAAGACGGTTGTACGATATTCCTCGAAAACAGAAATCGCCATATCATATTCTGAAAAATATTGAGCAGAATTTCGTTCGTCATTCTAATCGGAAAAATCCTTGATTCTGAACCAGTTTTGTAGAAAAAGCACTCACCACGGCCAACAATTGACAATGCGATGCGCTGTAGAGAAGCGAGTTGAATCATCAACTTGTAGGCGTAGCGAATTTGCATCTTTACCAAGCGATGCTAAGAAAAAGTAATGAAAGCGGATCACATCAGCTCATCAAGTCAAGAAGTTGCTACTGAATCAAAAAATTAAAAGTTCAGGGCAAAACTAATGAAGATACAGTCGCAATGATAACTACCACAGTTGAGTAGTTATAAATATAATAGCAAACTTCTATTCACTTTAAATTCAGGGAATTTTTTGTACAAGTACACTACATACAAATACACTACAAATACACTTGCAATCGAAATCTTACAACCGCTGGCATCACAGCCCTCAACACCACAGGTCCAACCTTCCAAAATAGAAACTACAAATTGTTTACCGTGCCTCCTTCCTTTTTCTGACTCGAAAATGGCGCCATCACCTCGAGAAGACGAGCTACTGCCAGAATCAAGTCCATTGCCACTTGGGCTTCACCTATCTGTTAAAGACCACATGAATATAATATAAAACTACTCATGAAGCATACGGCTGTTAAGTTCTTACCTTGACACTCTTTTCCGCAGCATTCAATACATCGTATAGAAGATTGCAGAAGAGCACTCCAATAGCAGCGTCAGGATACAACCTAAGACATATTATTCGTAAATGCTCGTTAAGTCACATGGGTGCACTGCTTTCAAATGGGATACTATATCTCTTAGAAAAATTACAAAGCTGCAAAACTACCGTTTCGCCTACCCGAAATGCTTCATATTGAGCATCGAAGCATCTGTCGTTGACTCCCACTCGAAAATAACTCGCAGGTTGTTGAGTACGCGTAGAATCGAACTTTTCCCAAGCACTAAAACGTGACTGACAAATAAACTGACCGACAAGCGATGCATGACACAAATCTGTCCTTTTAGAGACGTAGAAATATCACTCAGGAATGAAGTCTGCTGTAAAGCATGGGTAGTGAGAGCACAATCAGAATATAAGCTTGAACTCTATTATTCCAAATCACTGCTTCTGTTAGGCACAGGAGTACATGTTGGGAGATGGAAAACAAAATGAATGAACAATATTATACATGCCTCACATATCAGTGAGTCTCATTTATCGCAGTCTTCGTCATGGTTTACTAATCAATTATGAAACTGCAAGTGTTACCAGGACTCTTCTCACCATCCACTATGCGCATAACACTAGTGAGAGACTCGTAAGCCGACCGCATTAAATTTGGGAAGTACGGAACGACGGTGGTAAGGAAAGCAACAAGAGCGGAGAGCTGAAAAAAATTCAACGAAAAGTGCTCATGTTTCAATTAAATATGCCAGATAGTATGAATAATAGTTGAACGAATAGCCGAGAAAACAGACTGAATCGGCCTCGCGACATTCAACGATAAAACGGCACACGATCTCACTGGCCTTCACCTCCCCATACACAATCGAAAGTGCATGAAGATACCGAACAAGAGGACCAGCCCTTGAAAAGAAAGCATTGATTACAACAAAATAACGACATTAACATTTCGCCATTTGAGATATCACGTACCAAGAGGGGCTAGTAATAGCGGCATTAATAACGAACTGCAACTTTTTTCCAGAAGCAAATTCAGCGATTGCTGGGTATTCAATTACTGACAAATTCGGCTTCGAGTGTGCTGCTCGAACTATGAGATTCAGTAGCTCGTCCTAGAAGAAACCTTTCCTTCAAAGAGTTCAGAATACAGCGGTTCAAAATCTAACTTTGAAAAAGCAATCACCTTCGAGATTACTCTTTTTCTATGATTCAGAGATAGTAGCAACTTTATTTGCCTATGCAATCACTTCCACCCCTGTCGCTTCCAGGAGAACGCAAAACGAAGGAAAAGGAATGATCTGTGTTAAGTTTACTGAACAAAGAGCAGTATTAACTCACCACAACAACGACTATGTTCTCTCTGATAGCTCGACAGACGCCAGGATCTTGGTGCTCGAATTCTGAAACATTCCACTTTCTTTAGGCCTATAGATCGAGAATAAAATACATACGGCTAAAAATCAGAGGATCGAGGGCCATTTGCATAACGCAGGCAAAGACCACTGCAAGTGAATTCACATCAAGAGCTCGTATCATCTGCTTAGCGAAATCCAAATATGGAATGTTGGACAANACGAGACGATGATCCACTGACATTAACTGTCGAATTCCTCGGAAAAAGTTTGCCGGTGTTGCTTTAAAAAAATGTCTTACATGGCAGAAAACAATCTCAAAAGCCAAAACTATAGTTACCTTCATCAGCATTTTGCGTGATTAGAAATCTGAGCGTGTCAACCGAACAGGTGACCAATTTGAAGAAAAATACGAAGTTCAAATTGTCAAACACACCATCTTTGGGGATACTATCCAGGCTGTCCTGAATTTGCCCTCTCCGATTCACTGATCCGCACAATAAAGTATGGGAAAAACAATACTTCTACCTTGATCATTCGTGATACAATCTTTCCCAGTTCAGTATTACTGCGCCTGGTGAGAAAATTGAACACATCAGACAAAGAGTTGAACTTGACATTGTAATCTTCGTGTATACTAGACAGAATGGCCGGCGAGACCTCGAAAACCATATAATAGTCCAGTACATGTTTGAAAAAGAAGCGGCACAGTAACATACTTGATTCCGTTCCTTGATTCGGATATCTTCGACATACGCCTTGAATTGATCAGCTCCAACAGTGAATAGGTGGTCTACAATTGAACCCGGAAAAGTGATCCTGAACTGCTTCACTTTTGACGTTTTTTGGGAGTAGGCACACAATAAAACTTACGCGATGTGAAGCCAAATCCAATTAAAATGGGTACCATGTCGTGAAGCGTCGAAGAGCACCGTCATGCACTCGTCAGGGCATTTTGCTAGCCTACATTTACGGAATTACTGACAAAGGCCTGGAAGAATGCATCAAGAACAGATCAGCTCACAAAACATTGATTGTCGTATCGATCAGCTTGATCAACTGAGCTATTGAGCCAACCATTTTGAACAATTCAAGAAGAGATTCGGGACCTCTTGGGAGATTAACGACGCTTAGTCGGCCGGCGTTGTGTTGACTGAGCTCCGAAGAAATTGTGCAACACCACTAGAAAAGTAAGAGACTAGAATGAACCTTAGAGTTTGCTGTCTTGCGTTAGGTCAGCTTCATGGTCGTTTATGAGAATTCAACCAAGGAATACATTGAAAGAGTCTCCTTGACAAACAATGTTTTACCTATGCATTTCATAGAGCTTACCTGTAAAAAGATAACTTATAAGAAAAAAGAGCGATCTGGCGCTCCTCTGGAAGCGAAGCTTACCGAAAGCACTTCGAGAACGGATCTCTTGAGAAAAGACGACGTGACAGCATCTCCTACCATTCTCATCAAAGCGACGGCAGCATTCTCCACCGAAGTGTAATCGACACCTAAAAACGAGGGAAACATACGAGAACCATCAAGCAAAAAAAAATGAACTGGACCATATTGAGGATTCTCCTGTTTTGAAAAACACTGATGAGCATTTTCGTGGATAAGCATTCCAATGTACCCCAGAACGGCGTTCCTGAAACTCTCAGTTGAAAAGAATAACTAATATGAAATACTTTGCACTTACTGCCCTACTTTTTGGGCCATCAAACACAACTGAGTTTGTGAAAGCTTTAAATTGTATCGGTGAAAACGGAGTCGTAGTGGGCACTTCACTATGCTTAGCTTCTCTATCGCCTAGAGATAGAGCATAGAAGGTTGAGGCGCAGGTCTCACAGATCTGTGATAGTGTTAAGAAAAGATTCTGAGGCACGGTGATGGAGTTGTTAGCTTCAACCTGGAGGCTGAGTGAGATGTTAACTTTATGTGAAATACTGGATAGAAGTGGAATTGGACAGTAGTAACCCTCTCAGTGAGAGAGCGCAAAGGCGTAAAAATGAGTGGCCTCTTTACCTAAATTTCCACCCGCATTGAATATCGGAGTGGATCAAAGCTCAGCACTCAAGATGCAAGTGAGAAGAAACCCATGGAGCAAAAATTTTAGAATTTTTTTTNTTTTTTTTCTGAACCACAGCACATACTCAAAATAGAATGAAGTGCTGCGCTCACCTTGACGCCGGTATGCAAAGAAACACATCAGAAGCTGGTGCGATAAGCTCAGCAGCCGATAAATGAGCCCAAATCGGCCGACGATACACTGCTGTTACATCGCCCATTGAAGTCAACTTCACAAACGATTCATAAATGTTAGTGACTTTCCGGTACTTCTGAAAAATTGAAAACTCGAAAGTCTGAAAGCAGATTGGAGAGTGAATTGGGTACTTACTTCACACCATTCCGCACCAGAATACGCTTTTCGTTGATATTCATTCCCAGCAGATAAACGACTACTACGACCTTCAGTATTTATCATCTCCTCCTCCGCAACCTCAGCCTTGAATACTACGTAGCTTTTGCAGAAAACGTAAATATTTCTGTTAATCCTATTTTCGTTTCAAAAACACATCAACAGGGGTTCACGGCTGCAACCTGAGGCGCATTTGGCACCATGTGGGATCAGGTTGGATCAAGAGAGAGCGGGGGGCGGAACATTCGCCCGTTTATAGATGCGGCAAATTGCGCTGCGAAATTCGGGGCGATTTGTACGACTCTGGCACCTATCACTGGGGCACGGGGTTGAAGTGGTGTAGATCAGTAGAATCAGCTTACCCTACTAATCTATTCTACTTCAAGCCTGTGCCCCAATGATAGGCGCCAGAATAGCCCCGATCGCCTCGAATTTCGTCGCGTACTTTGTGCATTTCCAAACGGACGCATGTGCCAATACTCCTCTTGCCTTGAGCGGGCTGGACAATTGAGCAACGATTCGTTGTGCGTGTAAATGAACTCGAATCTGTTTTGTGTTTCTCTATCAAATAAAAATTTTTCTGCCTGAAGCAGGGAATAACTGACATTTGAGACGATTCATCAAAGTTTTGGCATGGGGAACGCGGTTTTGCGCTTCCACGGCTTCCAGTCTCAAACTAATCGTTCTATGACTGACCTCATCTGCTATTTCTACAACGGCCGGTGTCTGTGCAGTGCATGGTGTGGGGCTCGCTGGAGAATCGGCACCTGGCGATGCTGGTGATTCAATTTCCATAGTTTGATCTAAAGACTTTGGAACTGTGATGAGATAAACAAGTCATTTGATTAATAACGACAGTGCAAATTTCTCAAAATCACAAAACTGTTAAGATTTGAAGCAATTCAAGACGTTTTCCATTCACCAAATTGGATCGAAAATGTAGCAAACTATAGGAGTGGCTCAATATGTTTCATCTATCACTCCCCATAAACCTGCTCAGTTTGTAAGCCGATCCCATATCCAGCTACGGTATACTTTACCCCAACAGTCTATGATACTTGTATCCGGGAGAACTTGTTTTTTTCCTAATCTACGTTCTGTCTTAGAACAAAAGCTGTGCTTCTGGATCTTCGATTCTAGAGAAAGACGACACAATCACCCTGCAATTGCTGAGGATCGAATGGTCGTGTAGAAATGAGTGTTTGATGAAAATGTAGTTGGAAGGGAAGCATGGCAAACCATGAGCATCCTGAACGTGCTTCTTTACGGTGTTAGTGCAGAACCAGAGGAATCAAGACTTTTAGAACTCCCACTTGCATTTTCACCAAATAAATTCCCCGCTTTAAACAAAGCATTTATTGAATTGCAAGTGAGTAAAACTCATGGAAGTAGTAGCGCTAACAGTTGCAGTAGCAGAAAATATCGGTTACGTAACTACTTGAACTTTCTCTGCATCCCTGACAACAAAAGGTTAGAGCGCAGAGAAGAATACCCTGGGTGAAGAAAACTGGGGAAAGGGAGGCGGTCGTTTGGCGCGGCCCCTCGCACCCACCTTGCCATTGGGGCNGCCCCAATGGCAAGGTGGGTGCGAGGGGCCGCGCCAAACGACATACACCCATGGTGGAAGTCTACCATTTCCCCAGGGGTGATAGTCAGACAAGCACAACAGTCAAACATCGTATTGAACAGGAGTGCGACAGACGAGGGCAGAAAAGTAGTTGCAGTTGATATAATTAAAGGACCGAGTGAAAGTAGTCTGTGAGACGGATAGTGTGCTCAAGTGAGAATTTGGCTTCACGACGTGGGGGTTCCACAACGATTTCACCAACCGCCTGTTTTCAGTACTTTCCGGTAGTTCTCTGAGCTTGAGACGACTGATTGCTAATATTTGTAGGTTCCATTTTGTTATGGATTTTTTAAAATTCTTCGGGATTTGCTCCACGCTTCACTGTCTAGAACAAGTTGTTACGAGCGCATTAATCTTGGAGAATCTCTGAATTGAGTGAAGGGCGATATTTGATTGAACAACTAGTATAGTTTCCAAATTCCCCGTGATATTCTTTCCGTCTTTTGCTCTTCTGGATTATTAATATCTGACTTCACGGTTCTATATTTAAACAGAGTCGTACTGTTTTTCAACGCTTGCTTTTTTCATTCTTATGTCCAAGTTCACAAAACTCTTTTTGTGAAGTAATTTTGTGATTACGAAGCATATCGTTGCAGTGATCATGCTGGCTGTTCGCACACTCGGTGCAGCTCGGCTTCATTCTATACGATGTGCAACGACCTTCACCCAGATTCCTACACATGCTGGAAAGGTATATTTTGAAGGTGTATTTTGAAGGTGTTGGAGATCGCATTTTAGAAATGATATTACAACTTTCCTTTTCACTCTATCAAGCGAAGAGAACAAGCCGCGATATTCATTGAGTTTGTTCACATTATATCCGTATAGAACCAATACAATTAGCTAGACAAATTAGAGGCTTAAGTGTCTTAAGCATCCAGCCAACCAAATATGAAAAGAGAGAAGGAAACAAATAAATCCATCATCATTTTACTTTACTTTTACTGGTTGATTTGCCTAACGCCATTGATTTTTGCATTATTCAGAGGTTCCTTGTAAGCTCGCATATTATCATTATTACCGTTCTATCAGATTTGCCTGTAAGTTTTGTGCGACACGATCACTGAATGTGTCGTGAAGCCGTTTTGAGTATTTGCGACTGCCACAGCTCATGTTCATTAATGGTTAAGTTAAACTTCGAATTCATGGCTTATCTGCTTCCTACGCTTAAGCGCGAGACCATCTCCTTCCTCCCCTATTCTCCCTCGCTATTCTGTCTTCTTCTCTCCTCATGGAAAACGTCCTTGAATGCTTAGGTGAAGAACCTTTGATTAGCCCTAGAATTGCGCTTGCTGGGCTGTCCTTGAATGCATCCCATATCTGCAAAATTTTGCAACGTAAATATTACAGCAGGCGCCTGTGGATTGGTAGGTAATAAGGACCTGTTTGTGGTTTCGTTTCTTTTCTATTTGCCCTTTTACTTACGAAAGCACATTAATTTGATCTTTTTGATACTGGGCGTTTGATCAGTCGGAACTACAATATCCCTTCACAAATATTATTATATGGGTTAAATTTACTACGACCAAACAGGTTAGACGCTGAAAATTACCTCAGAATCTTGTCTTCAATAACTTTAATGAAAGTCGACCATCTGTTGAGGTAATGGCAGAAGTCGGAAATGAATTTATACAGTTATTTATCGGCGTAGTCTTTGCTTGCTCTTTATTAGCCTTCATTTTAGGTTCCAACTTGAATTCATATAAAATTGAACTAATTGCAGAGAATGAGGTGACTATTATATTCAAATTACTAATTCTGTAAATATATAAATAAATAAATATATATATATATGAATTTGAATCAACACATAGGAAATATGTTGCGTTCTATACGTTTGCATATTGTAATATATATATTTTTTGTTACTGGGAAATGAATGGTACATATTTCTATAATTTCAAGACACCTCCAACCCTTGAAGAATTCGATCCACTCAATCCTGGGGAGTGGCAGCTTGGAGTGAGTGTTTTATTTGGAATTCAGTTCGATTTCATTTCAATCTTATGCCTGGTGAAGTAGAAGGATTTGAATAAGGTTACTAATTTCAGGCCGCTGGTAAAATACTTCCCCGTCTTCCTGAGGGAACACGCGTAGGAAAGCTCGTTATGGGCAAGTATGGCTTATACGACCCTGTGTTAAGAAAGAGGGTGGAAACTTATTCGGTAAACTTTACTTGATTTTTCCGCTAAGTTCTTCTATTGTGAAGCGTTCTTCTTGTAGAAAGCTCTTCTTGATGGAAAGAAGTCTGAGGAGGCGGGCCCGTTCGATCGAGCAGTATCTAAAATGGTGAAATTCCTAGGTATGTCTCTATCAAGGGATGCGTGCTGCGTGCTTTGTGTGTTCTAATTTGATTTTTCATATTTAGGCACCATCTGCTTCATTATGGGCATATATAACCTCTTCACTCTGGCTTATGGAAAGCTGCTTCCACCTTATACATACTTGAAGGAACCCAGGGACTAGCAACGGCCGTAGTCTGTTCTTAGATAAATATTTCTGAGAATCGATCTTATAGCTAAAGTTGATTGTAATGAAGGTTGATCCTCAAATTATTTCTTGTACAATGAAGACTTCATTTTGGTATTTCCCATTGTCTTTTGTCGCTGCAATACTCACCATCGATGATGGTTGTTGATTTTCTTTGCTTCTGCACTAACGCGCCCAAATTTTCCTCCAGTAGTGCTGCTTATCACAGATAATGGCGACCCAAGCACACCATATAAGAATGATGCTTCTGTAAAAGGGACTGATGAATCTCATCCTCGATGGGCGAAAAATGTTACCTATATTAGTGGTAATAGGGGATTCGTTGCGTAACATTACTGGCAATTTCCCACTCTGTCACGGGAACTAGAAGTTTGCATGCTGAGACTTTCGAGCGCACTGGCCTGCGATAGACTGAAGCGCTACCAAGTAAAGTGCGACCACTCCGTGATCCTGCAGCCGATATCCGCTTAGTTCAATCACATCCGTCTTTGTAGGGCCTCTGTGCCCTGACTGTTTGCCGTTAATACTTGGGCGCAAAACCACAATGGTAAAGATTAACGTCGAAAAAGTCTCCCAGCTTATAGCGTAGTCGTGACACGACGCATCCCGAAGGCATGCGAAATAAGCCTTCCTTTGAAGGTCTCTAGCAAGCGAACCATTGCGTTTATGAATGGAGGCCACCTGCATTCCGATCCTTAACTCTATTGGTAAGACTATTTCTGCGGTAAGGCATAAAATACAAGCATCATGGATATCATAGACGCAACATCCTTTTGCTAGCGCTTCATATCTAATTTACAATGGACCCTCTTGATGATGTGGGCTCACTGCAGATTACTGAAAGCAGTTGATGTATCGTGATCACCTACAGAATAATATGAGGGTAGCAGAACCGTTGGCGACAGAAAATGACATGAATAACACCTACGAGTTCGCCGTTGAAGCAAGAGCCGCTGAGCCCCTCAAGATCGTTCCCTATTACATGGTCAGGCACGCTCTATCAAGTGAATTGTGGGTTTGTTTCTCTTCAAGTATTAAGTAACGTATCGATATCATACTTATGAGGAATATTTTTAAAAAGCTTTACAGTGCTAGAGTATGTCGACAGCCCATAGATGGCATGTACATCGTACCAAGTGCAGAAGATCAGTTTAGTGAGTAAATTTACTTTTTCCACCAACAAGTTGTGCGCTCAGGATATCGTGATCTTTTTCAAGGGTGGTTCGGTCTTCTATTCGTTCGACGTGGGGTATTTGGAGGTGGCATTTTCCGATTCAATGTTAAAATACCATATGATTTTCCTAATACAACATCTCTGCCAGTGAGTTTCTTTTGTGACGTTGACCTTTGTTCACAGCGATTTGAAGGAAATCGGAATCTCATCTCCAGTATGACGATACGTAGCCTTTTAGGTCTATTTGTATTTATTTGAGACAGAAAATCTGACATGGGTAGTTTGATGTTGAGCATTCTTCTTTCCGGTGAGCCTTCATCCTAAAACAGTTTGAAAGCGTACGATTTGAAAATTGACCTTAGACATTTTTGCTCTCCACTTTTTCGATCACTATTTGACTAACCACACATAAACTTAGCCGATCTGGAAAATCTGAAGACAGTGATTATCTTTGAACACACACAGACATAGTGGAGTGAATCCACTCCGCAATCCACTTTACTTTGTAAGTGTGCCAGTATTAAAGAATGTATTAAAGAATGCTGCTGCTCTTCCTTGACCCAGTTTTCCTTCACTTCCTTTGATAATCAAAATCTTTTCAGGTGGTAAAATTTGATCTATTCATTTTTCATCCAAATATCGATCCTTTCCATCGTCGGCCCGATCTCAGCCGCTACTTCCCTGAAGGTTGGAAGAAGGACAAGCATCATATCCAAAACGTCTTGCTAGTTGTACAAGTATGTATTTTCGTGTAAAGTTCGTGGAACATCTTCATCAACATTACCACAAGTGCTCGTTTCCGTATATTGGGGTGGTGAGAGAACCCACTCTAGAACATGTTGTCTGTGTTATTATTAGTAATGTCTCCACTCAGTGTTGATTGAAAACATTATTTTTTATTGGCTTAGCAAGTAGTACATTAGCCTACTTCTGCCGAGAAATTCGCCCTAGAATCTGCACTCCCACTCCCTTACTACAACCTATTTGAGCAAGAAATGAAGGTGAAGAACGTAACGTGACCTCCGCAGTTTCGATTTGTAGAAAATCTTGTGCTGCCGTAATTGGAGCAGCAATTTTCTGAAGATGAAATTCTCAAGACTAAACGAGAAATGAGTGAGAAGGGGATATTGGAATTCTGAAGGGAGTGGAAGCGACTAAGGAATACTGATCTAGTGACAGTGAAAGACCAGAAAGACAATACAGGAACATCTGAGATGTTTTGCTCCAATTGGTTCAACTTTTCAGCGTTTATTTTTCTCATTCGATTTTGAGCCAGACTCATGCGCAAATCCAAGCGCTGCAATAACATGGCGCGAGGACAAGGAAAAGTTCAGGTATTTTTTTTTAATTTTCTCTCCACGTCTCCTTTTTTCACTCCTTCACCGCTCTGAACACAGAGTATTCAATAGATAAGGGTTTTCCAACAGAAATTCCACAACATTCTAGATCAATGGCAAAGACCTGCGTGAATCAAAGTCGCATGGAGGTGTATGATGAACCCGAAGATGCGAACGATCCTAACTTTCTGCGGTGAATTTTTTTCGTCAACCACTTAATAACACGCTCCAGTGCTTCACGTGCTTTTAGCGTATTGCGTTCGAGTAATCGAATCTCTGATGAGCGGAATTCCGATAATCTCATTAATAATTCAATGGAAGGGCTCTAGGAGATAATAATGACGGTACTTACCGATGTTCTACCTATACCTTGGCTAAACATATGAATTTCAAATGAAGTTGCACTATTAAATCTGAAAATCCCTCGGAATTTTTTCAATAGAAGTGGAGACCTGAATATGCCACCGAAGATTCTTGAGGGAGCGCAATTGTTACTTACTCTTTCTTTCTCAGCCAATACTTTCAACTAATAACTGAAATTTATGCAATCATAAAAGGTCCTCTCGAATGTTCCCTGCTTGGGAGAGGTGAGACTCGCAGTTCGCTGGGCATTATGCTTAATGAAGTGTAAGGCCGGATCATTTCCTGTGGCGGCACATAATCAGCTTTTCAAGGTCTTCAGTCTTATTTTGCATCACTCGGACTTATTGCTTATTCACTTTATCGCACCCTTAATCGCATTATGACCAGTGCCCCTTTTCTGGAAACTCGCAGGACTGACGAACGGGTTAATTTAGGGTGAAATTCGCTAAAGCGTTTCAAAGGGTTTGGGCATTTAGAGAAGTTTAAGGATGCAAGTACTGTTTTAACTGCTAAGCGGGTTATAGCACCATGACAGGATTGGTAATCCGTCTCATCTACTAGAATGACACTTTTTCGAAATCTTCGACTCGAGGAAGTAAAGGTACGCGACAACTGCAGCCATTACTGTCACTGTAGTTCTGTATGATAACAAGAACCTTCAATATGAATGGAATTACGTTCTAGCTGAAAGAATTGAAAAAAACTGTGATTGAATCTCAAAATGGATAAATGAGAAATTCATTCCCTCTAAGCTTCTTTGGTAGCTATCCACAACAACCTCAAGGGCATAATCCCGGGGGTCAAGGTAGTGACTGTTTCGTGTTTGTGATTCCTCAGAAGCATTGGGAGAGCTTTGATTGGTTTTTGTTCGGTTCTAAGCTAGCAGTCTTCATGATTCTCTTCGGCGTGGAAATCCTGTAAATGTATGATAGGAGAGCTCATATTGTTGTGATTATAGTTCCGGTTTCTCCAAGTAGTTGGGTACTAAGTAAACGACAGAACAACGGAAAGCTTTTGATTGCATTCCGTCTGGAATGGAGACTAGCATGTCAGTGCCTTTGTGCTTTAAATCAACGATTACAGATCCGACACGATTACGTTGATGCCTGAGAACAGCTCAAGAATAAACTGGTAAAATAGAGCATAATAAAGTAAACTGGACAGATTCTTTATTCTCTTTGAACGCGCCATGACGCACTAAAAGAGAATCACTGCAGCGAGTGATACGTCACATTCAAGAGCGGTTTCGGGCCTGATAGAAATTTTCTAATGAGAGTTTCCGTAAGAGTTTGCTGTTCTTCTTTCGGGACCAAGCAGTTTTTAATAGCGCGTAGGAGTAAAGTTTGGATTTGTTCAGTAATAGTTCGCCTGTGCTGTATAATAATCAACCGTTTTCATTGGTACTACTCAGTGGGCATTATCCTTAAGTGAGATGAGTAGTTCACGTCTCAAATAAGAATAGCTGTAGTGGCCGAATGGGCTGGCTTAAATGCTCTGAACAAGTTCACCCTGATAGGCATAGCTGCCCGTCTCCCCATCTTACCATCCAGACAGGTATAGCTGCTCGTCTCCCCATTTTACGCTTTTCTTTTTCCACCTACAGGACGGCACAGCAAAACTGGAGTATTTGATTATGATTGCCCCTTGCAAATGACTCACTGATGGAAAATAAGCACAGTAGTAGTCTTCTCGTGACGATGCTGCTTCCCTGGATAGGATTCACATAGATGAGCTCTTCCAATCCATTTACGTCCTCCTCAGTCCTACTTATAGGCTTAAGCAACGGCTTATTGGAGTATTTGATTCGAATGCACGGTATTCTCGAAGTTACCCAACAATCTGACCGCGGCAATTTTGTGATCTTTTTTAGGCGTTTTGAACCGAATCACCTCCAGTAAAGTTATGGTACCAGCAGTTTCTTTTTGCTTATTGCGAAGAAATGAATAATGAATGACGTCATATTTCCTAATCGGCTCTTTTTATATACATTCATGTCTTTCACGATTACAAAGAATTATGTGGTCTAGAACACCTGAAGTCTATTTAGTGATCCTTATTTCTGTCTATGCTAGGGTTTGTGAGTTTTTTTTGAATGTTCCTTACCGCTCTCCGTCTTGAACATTGAACCCATAGTCTGCCACACTGGAGAAATTTCAAACTATCGTGCCACTTTTCACTCGAGCGATGGGTCCCACCTCACCTTTCTGCAACTTCCCCCAGAAAATAATGAAGGTCACCATAACATTAGTATAACTGTTCATTTGAACTCGCTGCTCTCTGGACACCTCCTGGGACTCTTTGTCGTATTGGACCCGCTTGATCATCGATGCCCTAGCGAATGCAACACAACTTTTGTTTGGTCTTTGGACAAAGGTGTGCGCAACTACCCTCCCTTGCATAAATTGAAAAGGGGTAAAGAATGGCCGCTCATAATTTTTATCTGTTAATCTCGTCTGTACAAAATGGCGCCTCTTCTCTTGATGACCTCAGTACATAGATGGCGAAGGTAGTTTTTGCCATTTGAGACAGTATCTGCCATCAGATATTTAAATTCGGACAAGCTAGATATCATAGAAGATTGTTCTGTGACACCATCTAGCTGGATTCGTTGTAGCCGAACTAAATTTGCTAGAGAACATCCGAATGGAACACTGTCTCAGCCTTCATATGTAGCTTACAGATGACAATTCATTCGGCGTATTGCCAAAAAATTCACTTGGGATTATACCTACAGTTAAAGTTTGTAAGCGTATACTTGCTATTAAGTGAACCACGAAAACTATTCCCCTTTGGACTATTATAGTGAAGGCAGCTGGCAACTTTTGACGGTTTGTAAGATATTACTTTTCAAAACTCAAAGTATTAGTTTAGGAAGAAAACTTAGAGGGTATATGGTATAACCTCACCATGCCCATGTTTGAGATATACTAGGGAGGATAAGGCGGCTACCTTGTTTACTACCTGTCCGACCTTCTATAGTGACGACTTTGAAAGATGATCCAAGATGAGCACGTTTTGTGCTCATTCAAAGGACTTGTAATTCTGAAGTACCGTTGGAAGTTAATTAAGATATCATTACTCTATTTCGCGTTTTGTCTCGCCCTATGTTTTTGACGGGTGGCGTTCGGCAATTTTCGTTCATTGAATAATGTGCATTTGACCACTGCCGCTTGCATTCAGGTATCGCGTATTGGGAGTTTTTGCCTTTGGGCGGAGACTTTATCGTTTTGCATGGGGGAACGCATTCACTCAACAACTTCGGACCAAGTCCGACATCCGTTCGGAAGTTGTTTTTCGTTTAGGCTACGTGGGGCTAGGAAAATAGCTGAAGAGATCTCTTAATGACTTCTATTCACTGGAAGAATTCTTTCACCCAGTTTTTGATACGTCTGCTCTACTCTTTCTTGACTGTTTGTAATTCCCACATCCACAGTTGTCCTAGTAAGACCGTAGAAATCCTTTTACCATTCGATAACCCTCTTAACATAATGTTGGCCGTAGTGAAGACATTCTGAAGTTTTTATTTAGCTTACACTCTCTGGAATAATTCTTAAGCTGCTGTGTATTCTTAGATTGACGCCCTGGGATCCGTCGTTACACGAACAGATTCGGGATCGAATGATGCTGCTTGGAGGTGCATCAAGCGATAGACTGCACTGGGAAAGAAGTGACAAACACAATGGACATCATGGTGGTGGTCTTTCATGGATCGACACTGACGCAATGACATACATGACAGAATCGGCCAAAGGAGTACGTGCTGTTTACGCTTACGATTTTGTGGCTACATATTCTGATGGAAATTGTAAGTGAAAAATTATGCCGAGTCTAATAATGAAGCCGTTTAACGATGGATTATCATCTTTTCAAAAAATTTGAATCCTTGCCAACTCTTGAGGTTTTCCCAAATTCTGCTTTTCTTGGGTAGCAAATTTTTAAATAGCTCGAGTTGAGTTAGAAGTATTGAATTCACCAATTTCTTTCGAAAATTCAGCACATACCCTTTCTTTTTCCATCGACTATGACCATGGGAATGATAAACCATTGAACTGCTCCCTACCATCTATCCATCCCTCTGCATTCACCTGTTCAATCTACCAAAATCTTTTGGTACGTGGGGTGGAACGTCCCATAGAAAGCAATAATTCCTCCATGCAAATCGCCTTCATCCCCCTCCGTACAACTACTTATTGCATGAGCACATTTGCATCTGTTCGCTTGGAGCATATACCTCGAAATTTACTGTGCTCATTGAGCGGCACTATTGCGCGGCGAATGCCATTACCGACTTAACCTTACGTCAGTCATTCCATCACGGAAATGTTCCGCGCATTTGCCACCATGAAATAGCTCGTCATGGTCCCCTGATCCTACGGTATACACTCCGGCAACAGGGGAATGAGACGAATGTCTTCGAATTTTTGTTCAAAATTCAAAGAATTATTCAGGGTTGAAGAGAAAGGTTCTTACACATTAGGAAAGAGCTTGCTTCCCGGAAACGTCATAGGGCTTGTCCCAAGTTTATTGAATTTCTCCATATCGCATTAGTAGTAAGCTATGTCACTATTAATAGTGTACAATTATGCGTCAGCTTATTGCGATATTTGGACTGATGACTAAGTGCCCCAAAGCAATCCTCGGCCACAGTTCTCAAGCTGAAAACTAGTCGAAAATGCAGTGGGAATGGTCACACATTATTCAAAAACTAAAGTGCAGTCGATCCCAAAGTTGAGCTTTGGTAAACTATGTCAGACTACTTTCGAATGAGAGAACCAAAATCGTTTATTCAGTCTGCAAAGCAGCTTCATTTGACATGCCGCTTTACGCCTGAGTTTCCCGTCCACCTCAGGTATATGCTTCAACTCGCTCCTGATTGGGTAAAATGTGTGGAGACCATCATAACTCCATTCTGAAATTTTCCTTGCAAGGACGGGAGTAGATTCGTAGTCAACTTTCAGTACACGTCTGTGAGATGTTATCACCAGAAAAGGGAACCTCGACCGAGGTTTTTTCCCTTGTATAAATAAACGTTTTCAGTTGGAGTTCTCGGATATGAACAACAGCTACGTTCGAGCTGAACGCGATCGGTTGATGCATGGAATTGAGCGTTTGGATTTGAGCGGTGTCCAACCAGATAATGACAGTGGAGAGAGTGGACGGACTGATGTAAGCATAAAGCAATTCCAATTTTTTCCTTAGCAGAAGACAATATAACGTCCGTTGTCCATAACAAAGATTTCATCAGGAAATATCCAAAACAGGGTTGGTTCCCCAGGTAACTAAGTGGATCAACGCAGTTCCGTACCCGCCATAAATAGTCAATTACAGGATGGGCGGAAATCATGATGGCAGCTCACACTAATTTTTCCCAAGTTGAGACATTTCATTTGTTTTTTTTTGTTTCACAAAGTAGATTACATCGTAGGTTTACCAGTGATAGTAAAGTGATACTGAGTGATTGTTTGGCGTATTTCGAAAATATTGAAGCGTTATCTCATCGAGGATCAATCATACTTTGCATTTAAGAGTACTTTTGGAACAGGAAATCTCTAGACGACTCAATTTTACATATAGTACGTTCAAGCATCGTACGCTTCGAAGAGTTGAGAACAGCTGCAGATTTTAGAGGTAGATATAAAAGGCTTACGGTCAAATGGATAAGACATGTTAAGAAAATTGGGGAAAGGTCCGAAGGAAAATAGGAGAAGCAACGAATGAAGTCGCGCGTAATGGTCAAAGCAACGGAAATCTAATGAAGTTTCTGCGCAGTACCGTAAGAGATCATCTGCACAACGAGGCTTTCATACGAACGTTCTCAGTCATTTTCTCAGTGAGCGGGCTAAGAGAAGGGAAAGGATTACTCATAACAGCTACTACGCTATCTTCGAAGAAATCGTAAAATGGGAATCCCTGTTCACCGGCGAAACAATATTCACGGTTGAAGGCTGGTCAGTAAGCAGAACGGACAGGGTTTATGCAAGGCTGAAACAACTGGAAGTGATACAGCGCGAGGCTAACTGACGTTTTTGATGGCCTCTGCGCGCATCACCACCGAGGCAAAAACAGCGATTATCTTTGTAATCAAGGAGTCCAATTCAATACGAAAATCTATTAGGACTTGCCGTGCGCAATAGGACAGGTGGGAATTCGGACTGGAGATCTAGTCAAGGGGGAGCTCCTGACCAGAGTTCATGAATTGTTCAGGACTTCCGTAGGAGAAGTTTCGCAACTTGATAACCTTCGATCAGTGGCCTCATGGATTTCAAAGTGTGATCAACCTTTGGAAAAAAAACATGTTAGACCACCCAAGAACTGAAATGGTTTCGAAAATGCCTTGCAAAAAGCCGAGATCAGCTGATCGTAGCTGCGTGGCACCGTCGACGCGTTCTATTGTCGTCTCCGGGCTTGAGTGGAAGCATAAGGCAACAGGTCTCAGTTCCGACGTATTTTTGTAATAAGAGATTGGTAACAGATACTTTTTTGAAGCTGAAGTTGTTTTATCAGCTCAATATTCGTTTTTGAGGGTTGATAACTGTACCATCATGATTTTGGCCCATCCTGTATACTACTCGCATAATTTTGTAAAGGGAAAATAAGGGATCAAATTTGATAGACCTCCACATGGAGCATGCCTACCGATGATACATCATGTCCCTGATGGGATGAAAATGGTTGATTATTGTAAAAATGAAGTCAAATGGGCCATTAACTACAAAGCCTCATTTTGCCGCGCGTTTCGCTGAAATCTACTATTTGCTAGTCCTACCATTCTTACAAGCATCTCGAGTGGTCCACCAATACAGAGAAGAGCCATTCACTGCTCTGCTATTGATACGAAAATTGGCTGCTTTTATCGGTCCGTATGACAGCTAGTTGTCGGAACAATCATATTGAGCATTTGCTGATACTTTAACTCGTACCTCGACTTTTCAGACTTCCATGGATCCTATCTCACTGCCGTCGACGGCGTCTTTCTCTTCCCCAGAACACAGGAAATTAGCACGAGAGACTGGTCACGAACATCTAAAAATTGAGGACCATCAGACTGCAGTTCATGAGGAACAAGAAGAAATTGCTGATGTGTAAATGCGATTGCATTGGTCACTAAAATATTGCATTGACTCGCATTTAGATCTACTAATATAATAATTACTCCATCATAAGTAGATGCTCCGATTTTTCGCTGTTGCACTTGTGGTGCTCATAACTTTAACACATTGTCACGTTGAAATGTTATGCAGGAATCGGACGGGTGCCGTTTGAACGTGATAAACTCCAGAATCAGTTGTGTTCATTTGTTTACATGGTGTTACCAAAAGATAGCACCCGATAGCGGCCGTGGCAGCGAGCACCATTTTATAGTATTTCTCCCTCGTAGACTGGTCACTGATGAATTACGCCTGTACCTCTTCTGCTGATTATGGTTTCACCGCTAGACGGATTTCGTTGGATGACGTGAGTTCGGGCGTTGAAAAATTGGATATTTTTTATGAACTGCCAAAGAAAATAATGTTCATTGCGAACGTGTCCCGAATCGGGATCACACTTTACTCGACGATTTCACCCTTTGCAGATGCGCAGTTTTCGACTACCTATTTGGTGTGGGGCCGAGTCATCCGATTCACAATTTCTCAGATAACGAAAACACTGGGCGGAAATATGATTGGTTGAGGAAGGGGGAGAGGGAAGCAGAAAAAGGTTCTTAGAAAAAGGAAGATATTTTTGCCGCTTTCGTCGAGAATTGGGTGAATGTACCCAAACTCATTTTTGCCGGGCATTGGGGTAAGTGAGATGATTTCCATGTGCAAGAAATCGGGAAGAAGAGGTCCTCTCACTATATCTTCCTTAAAATGGGCATTAGTTCTGGGCATCGCGCGTGACTAAGCCTTTTTCACTGGGCTAATCAGTCCTGGCACCTAATGTTCAAAACTGATATATAATAGATGATCTAATTAGATGTTAAATATACTGATGAGTGTGATGTGAGACTAAGCAAGTAAAGAAAGTAAAAAGTAAAGAAAGTAGTAAAACTGAAGAATGATAGATATACCGACGGAGTTGGTATCTGTATCATTCTTCAGTTACGACTACTGATCACCGTTCGAGCGTACAGCAATTTGCAATATGCAGCGGGTCATTTTCGGGACCACGATCGCTGACAGAAAAAAACCCTCAATATCCGCATTATGTAGGCAGTTGCACAAAGCAACTAACACAAACAAACAACTACAATATTACCAAAATGGTTACAAAGAGAACGTAGTTTATGCAATGGGGACCATGAAGCTTCCTAGAGAAATACGACCGGATCTGTTAAGAATGAAGGTCAAGTTGAATATTCACGGAAAAGAAGCTATACATTTCAGTCTACCTCTGTGACGGCATCGAGCAGTACCACCATACACTACAAGCGAACGAGGGAGGATTGTCCTAAAGCTTCTGGCGGAACTCGTATGAATTCACGCCAACCTCTTTTGACAAATTACTCTACCGTGTTCAAGCCTTATTGAGCCCCATTAAGGTGAAACTAGATTCGGCTGCCCCCGACCGGGACAACGCGACGGTGTTTACGCGAGTACGTTCGGCACTCGTCGACGCGATCCTGCCGATAGGAGCGTCACCTTCTCCCGCATGAACAGAAACGTGTGTTTCTTCAATTAAATGACCTTACTACAACCATAAGTACTTTTGTTTAGGGTAACTGCAATACTCAATGTTGTACTTGTTGTTGCGAACGAATGCCCTGTCACCGCAGTGAAGAGGGAGCCATAAAGCAACCTCCGTTCTCGAGCAAAAAACTGAAGAAGCACTGCTGCGTGAGTAGCAAATCTTTCACATGCATTCTCAATGAACAATTGTCCACGGAATCATCACGGCGAGTTTCTCTCCCTACTGGGAACTAACAGATTACGTCAGGAAGAGCCAGGCCAGTCTCGATTTGGTAAAGGTCGTTGTTGCAAACGATCTCAGAGTGAGTGGAACTTGGTTGGGGACGGTATAGCTAGAGGAGGACGAATAGAGCAGCATACCCTATCCTGAATACAGTTTCTGCTAACGAGATCTGAAACCAAAATAGAGTCATGCGCTGTCGGATACGATGCTTCCACCTTTTCCGCTTGACTCGGACCGTCACCGCGAGCCTCGCTATTGAATATAACCGTCCTGACTATCTCCAAAACGAAGCATTCACGAACGTTTTTGCCTGTCTACACTTTGCTTAATCCCCGGTGTAGAACGCAAGAACAGTGGGGTCGTCGTAGGAGAGGCTATGGTCATGATCTTTTTGTTGTGTGGTGTGAACTAATTTGACCCTTCAATTCAGTGCACGGTGGACGCAGCTTGCAAGGCCACAGACGACGAGCGCCAACGAGGAGACACCACACCGCCACTTCCTTACTGGCACATTGCCATCGCTGCCGCTCGCCTCAAAGAGCAAGAAAGCGAAAATCAGGTTTGTGATCAGTCTATGTTTATTTCATGCAGCAGTATGAGTTTGTTCTCTCATGGGGCATGAAATGGTTACCAGGAATGCCGGCCAGGGCAACTAAAAAAGAGCAAAAGGATAGGTGTCCCTTCGACGAGTTTCATAGGTATGGGTACTTTTCCCCGAAACCGCATCGCGCTCGCCGCACCTATCGCGCACTATGAAAAGTATTTGTGAAACCCCAGTGAAAGGACACCATAGCCGCTGCGGGACTAATGCTGCTCGCCTTGGAAAATAGGGAGAAGTACCGTCACCAGGTTCTAGTCACAAAATGAGACCGATTTTCCAGTACAACAAGGAACGCGCTGCTCAGGCTTGGGACAAATACTTTGCTGACGCCAAATCGTGAGTTGTCGTTGATGCTATCTGTTGATTGCCTTTATACTATTTATTTTTATAGGCATCACCATCATTGTGGGAAAAGGCAGAAGATGGAATCGAGGAATTTCTCATGCCACCATAAAAACGCTTCCGTTTCTGAGGAGCAAGTTGTGGAGAAATATTCCCGTCATGACCGCTATGAAGGATGCAACCAGGACTGTGTGTACAATGTAGAGCGCAACTGTGGAAAGTTCTACAAATGCGGTGGAAACGTTAACGAGGCATCTTGCAAGCTATGTGAAGACGATGAGCCATGTGAGATAATGAGAAAAATATGCAAGCCCTCGCGCAAGTCCCCGCCGATATGCAAACGGCGAAATCAGAGGTTTGGAATAATATTCTTTTAGTCAAACATTCCAGAAAAGAAGTACTGACTCGTTCCAGTGCACCACCGGTAGTTGGTCGACCTGCTGAGGTCGAAAAGCCGTTCTACGGAGCGACCGAGCTGGAAAAGTCCTCACTGAACGCAATCAATCACCTTCTGAAAGCCGAAAAAGAACTCCGTCGAGTACAGTTCACAGCCGGAAGTATTCTGCCGCAGGCCAAACAGTACATTGTGAGCAACCTGGTTTTCTCTAACCTCATCTGATACGGGAAACTACCTACAGTTCAAGATCTCTATTTCTGCTTATGAACGCTTTGATCGAGTTGTACGCGACCTTTCGCTAGAACTTTTAACAGTATGGTAGGGTAGACCAAGATTTTTGATTAATGAGGTTTAGGAACAAGTCGACGCAATCCATCAGGATCTTAAGCTTTTCAATACACAAATACATGAATTACAAAAGCAGACCAATGACGTTCTCGAGAAAAAGGTGAGACAATCGGCAACTCAGTCTGAATAAATAACAGCATTTGATGAAGTTCTTTTCATAAACCTCTCGTCTTCTGACGGTTCCACGGCCACCATTACTTTCAGGGTGCAAGGCATTTCCACTTTATGATTCAGGGATCACCGACGAAATATAAGGCGAGTGATTGCTAGGTTACAAGTAGACTGTAGACCAGCCCTTTCCACTTGACCTAAGCGAAATTTCTTTTCCTCTCATTAATCTATGACGATTTTCAGCCCAACGCCCCTCTTCCTTCCCGCTGAGTAAGCGGATGCGGGCACAAGACAGATAATAGTGATATTGTTTCATGTAAAACAGATTGAATGAAACATTCAGGCAGAGTCTTAATCCTTGTGTTTTCAAATTTTCATGATTTACATATGAATTTTTGACTTGACTTTTGGCCTATCATTTTATGTATTAGATCCATGAATATGCTGCAAAAGGAAAATAGACCAGGGCGGCAAGGGGGCAGATTCAGATCTCATTCCCGGACCAAACCTTTTCCAAACCGTCTGAAGCCACTGAAATACGTGTGATGAACTACGCAGAGAAACCAAAAGCGAGCCAACTTGTTTCGGCCTTCACATTTCTAGGTGGGTTTGCTATCACAAAGAGTGACCCGATAGCGTTGGGAAGCTCAAAGGCTCGAGCAGTTTCAAGCTATCGTTCTCGAGAGGTGTTTTGTAGTAGAGTATATATTTAGGAGTGGTTCTCTATCGTGTTGGTCTGGAACTGAACTTTGCAAATTTTTATCCGGTATAATGTAAAAACAGGGGACCGATTAATGCCGGGCCCTTCTCTTTTTTGTGTTCAAGTTCACTTGCCAGCTACACTATTCCAAAGTTGGACGCTCTGCTCCAAGAGAACAAGAGTTGTTGATTTCTGGCTGAACACTCACACACAGACACAGATCGACACACTTCGTGCGTACCCCCGTTCACCGTAAGCGAAGTCTTACTCCACTCCTGAGTCGGTTCGCTATCTACTTAAATATTTTAACTTGACTGCGTCTTTTCAAACCATACCAATCATCAGTGTATCAATTCTGCCGCTTGTACTCGTGCATAATCTGGATGCTTTAGGTCCAATTTAACAACTTTCGTTCCATCCTTCTTAAGACAAAGTTATAGCATTGGCCAACCCGCCACTCAACATTTGAAACGAATTGTACCTTCCTGAACACAAAATTTGTCGCACTAAAACAATCCTAACGCAGGACCCATGAGGAGGAGAGGCTTACGTCTACGGTTAAAAAATTCGATTTGTTGCTCTTCATCTTGAAAATAATCACCTATTGAAGATCACAAAGGTTGTCGGAGAGATAATAACACCATTACTAGTTAAGCTGTGAATAAAGTCTTGATCAATTTCGGTGGCTAAATTAACTGAAAACGAAAAGCTACATCGTAATACCAAAGGCGTTAAGGTACAATTGGCGAGTGGGTCTTGCTCTCTAAAGCACCTTATCGGCTCTTAACAGTTGTTCTCGCTTCTTGTACCCAAGATGGTTCCTCGCTCTCGTTGCCATTGAGGTGCCATAACTCATTGTTAACACAAAGAGCGTAGCCCGTTCCTTTTAACGGATCACTACCAGCGATTGTCAATTGTTATCGTTCCCGTCACCGAACCTACGATTACGTCACATCTCACATCACTTATTGAAATGTAGATCAATTAGTAGTTACTCTCGCCTTCTATGACCTTTTATCAGCCCTTATCGCTTGATATCAGTGATCAATCATCTACTATCCCTACACGTCCTAAACCATCAAGGAAACTGTCAAAGTACAACCGTTATCACGAAAGGCATTATAGACCTAGTGGCTCCTGCCTTCCTTAACATTAACAGTCAATGGTGATCGCTTCCTATCACGTACCATCCTGCCATCTGTATCCCTTCCAACTTGAACGCTACATTGTTGAGATTATTGTTTTCTCTAACTCTTCACGAGATTTGTAAACAAGCTTTATTAGGCCAAAATTTCGGCGATATCGCCTTCTTCAGAGCCTGGAAGTATCATAACAATCTGTGACTATCCGGCCAAATGTCTCCACCAACTCACCGAAGTTCCAGACCCCCAGGGCACGCAAGTGATCGAAAGAGAGGCACTCACCGTAGCCTCGCAGATTCTTCGAAACCATTCAGCAAAGGATGATGCCATCCGACCAGTGTCAGCTGGAGTAAGTCCTCATTCGAAGTCACTGCGGGAAGACCAACTTTATATAAGGCCACAGCTCCTGCGTGATTGCGAGACACTCTTCCCTACGATTCATTTTTGGATCAGTGACTTGTATACAAAATGCCTCGAGGGTTTTGCGTGCGCACAATTCCGATTTCTTTGCTACGACCTTCACGGTGACCTCAAAAACGCCTCCGTTATGCTTCCGAATTCGGTGACTCCCTATGGCAGCAGACTTTTTCAATCGTCTCATACCATCTATGTGCTCCTTAACCAGATCGAATGGCTACTACAGTCACACATCTACTTCTTGTTAAGTACTTGTTAAGCAAGTTCGAATATGGCTTCTACAGCAGACCCATTGCTGACATTTGGGTAGACAGTGGTATACAGTTATGCCGCCTGACATTTCGGTAGACAGTGGTATACAGCTATAGAAAGCCGTACTTGGGAATTTGAACGCCATAGTTCCGGAAACAGGAAAGAATGGGTCGAATGCAGTAGAAGTCCACAACGCTCAGAGCTGGTGCTCTAGCCATCAGTCAGAAGTCATCAGTTTTTCACATGCCTTGAGGGCAGCCCCTGTCTTTGGCATGAATTAGCGAGAATAATTCAATAATCTCACGATCACAATTTCTCTGCATGCTTATACAAAACTGTCTTTTGATCAATGTTATCCCTTCAAGCTAATTCTAGGTGCGCCTAAATATTGGGTCTTGAAGAACTTTTCAAGCGAAAAGATGCCAAATTCAATGCCTACTTTTTTGAGCTTTCAGAGACTGACGTCAGGGGTTGCGTGTTTGCTTGATTTAGATGTTTTGCTCCCAAATAGCCATAGTGCTGTCTGAACCACGACAACTGCCAAGTGGGCAGTAACTGCGACAAAACATCCGATACAGCAAGCCAGAAAAACCAGTAGTCATGCGACTAGGAGGTTTTCAAATTTTTTTTGGAATATCGCCGTTGTGGGGGGAATGAGATGAACATGAGTCCGGCCAATGCCCATTCGAGCAACCTAAAGTCTATTTGAATGGCTTCGATTACAAGCATACAACCAAATCAATGCCTTGATCGCCCGAACTGATTCATGCACGAAGTAAGTTTACTCGACATAGTCATCTCCCGTCACCCTCTCATATGGTGGCAATTACTGACCACAAACAGTTTGGTGAACGAAAATCAGCGGCCTAGGACCACATTGGCTCATAGCAGAGAAGAAATGGGGCATTTCTGAAGAGTGCACGAATAAACTGATCACACGAAGATCGATAGGTATCTATATAGGCCGTTTGAACATAAAATCCGCTCCAATCGCGTCCACGACAATTAGTATAATTCTAGCGAATAGCACAAATTAGAAATGTAAGGAAAACTGTTCATTTCACTATTACCCCTCTAGAATAATTGGTCCGCTTGCGTGGAGTTTTTAGTAAGAAAATGATTAAACAAATTTCATGTTCGTTCTTCAGTTCTTCTTCTGTTCGTTGTTCAGACTTTCACGCTTCACCCGTTGATCCAGTTCAACTGTTACAGATCACCTCCCACATCCATGTCTATGGCCAGTTGCAAAGTCCAAACCCATTATCGAATATGAAATGAAACCGCGAACTTTCAGCGCATAGTGCTGCCATGTCGTAGAGCAAAGGTAAGAGCGGATCCAGCACCCAAGCATGTTCCAGGTGATGGTAAATCCAGGACCGATAGCCGCGTAGGCTTTCCAAGTTTCCATCCTTTCAAGTTCTTTTAGTTGGTAGTAGACCCTTTGGATGGACCTGAGTTATAGGTCGGTTGGTTTTCGCATCAGTTTTTAAGTTACAAACAACAGAATACTTGCCGAATCTCTTGCAAAAATAATGCAACATGTATAGCGAGTAATATTTATAATTATATTTATACGAGCCGACGATAAAAGTATGAAAATGTAACTCTCTCGTTTATATCCAGAAGATATTAAGTAATATTTTCTCTATACCTGTTAGAGAAGAAGGACTAACGATATCAAAGCTAAAAGGTTACTGAAATTCCTTAACTCAATCGTAAAGTTGTGCATGTGATAATTTCTCACGCAGGCTTTGGGCTTTCGAACTCGGAGAACTCTTGAGGTTCACCTCGGGAAGATCGTCGGCTTTTAGTTTTCGCTTGGTCGCTTCATCTAGATGTTGAGTGAGTGGAATCTACTGTTGCACAAGTTTATTCTGCATTTTAGGAGAGTTGGTTTTCAATGGACGCTATGCAGGCAGTAACCTCCTCTATCGCATTTTTTACTCAATCACTATCGAACGTTTCCATTAAGTTCCTCGACAAAGGCTCTTTTCCTGCAATCTCTTGTCGCCCTTCAACCTCCACGCTGATGTCGTCCTTCTTCACCTCGTCCCCTTCCTTCGCCCCTCATCGTCATCGTCATCGTAGTTTCCCCGTTATCGATTGGCGGACGAGGTAGCATGGCGCCCCCCCCCCCACTAATTCTCCTTCACTTCTTTCTGCTTTCAATCAATTCGTGACCGCATGGCGCTGTTCTATTCAAGCTGCTTTCTGCTGCTGTTGTTCCTCGGGCTTCTCGCCTCGCTTGTTCGATTCCATTTCTTTTGTTTTTTTGCTCTTACTTAGGTCACCACTGGCGTTTTCGAAACAACCACAGGCTTTTGAGGTATCTTTAATGATGCTTAAGTCATTCTGCTCAATGCTATCGGTCTGTGTGCCCCTTTCCAGAGTTCGGTTTCATTTTTGAATCGAGGCTACTAATGGGGTCGCGGAAGGAATTCCATACATGGCTATCAAAAAGGCAGAATGAGTATAAAGAGAAATGGGACGAATCAGGGAAAATATAGACCGCTAAAAAAATAAAGCCTAATTTTATTATTTTAATATCTTAC